ACAAGCTTCTTAAAATGAGTGGACTGGAAAGCAATATCGGGTCAGGCAGAGGTAAATATAAATAGAAGAAAGGACCCGTTCGCTCCATCTGACATTAACAGCAACGGTGGCAGCGGCGGCTGAACTCTTTCATTAAAGTGCAGCCAGTTCTTCCTCTCTCTTCCTTTTCTCGGAGTAGCACAGGCAATGTAATTTTCCATGAGAGCTGTTCCATTTATCAAGGCCAGTGCCAGATCAAGGCAGCTGAGGAATGCCTCACGCAAACGTATAATGAGAGGTGGGAGAGTGAGATGCACTCAGAAGTGGATCCTACTTTTGTGAAGAGACTAGAGAAGATTTATACGGCATCTGTGCTACGATGCTTTGGGGATTTTTAACTTCACACGCTATCAATGAAGTTACGCTGTCACACCCAATCCACGGAGAAAAGGATTGCAGGCCACATGCATGTTAATCGTTCTTAGTACTTGTTATGCTCAAGACAGGACAGCGATCCATTACAAATTAATAGCCGGGGTGCACCCATTTTACTTTCAAATGCTTTTCTCCTGAATATTTCTTTACGTTTTACTGACGTGGAATTGAAAAGCAATTAGTATCCCTTTGGCCAAGTATGAGGACTGACAACATTTAGAAACATCATTTTGACGTGCATTTTCCAAACTGTCGTTTGAATCTGGTTTAAATTGGCCAAAGTGAATCTAGACTATCACAAACATTTTTTGACAAACAAACACAAATCTCATCCTGCAATATCGATGTGTCAGGAACGGGCAACTTAAAGGATGGAGGGACCAAAATATTTCATTTGTGCTGCCCCCCACCCCACAGATTCCATAGTAAATATGGACAAAACGTGTGTGTGCATGCAAAATACATGCGGCCTTCATATACACTGTTTAATTTTTAATAATACATTTCTCAAGGCATGTATATACAATCTACTATTCAACAACAAAGGATTTGAAGCAAAACATCCCCGATCTGTCATTCTCCAGAGGAAAGAATGTCAAAATCAATGGCACGGAAAATGAGGATAAAAGTCGGCAGCTATCAATCGATATATTTTCATTATTCCCCAAAATACTTAGTCGTCGGCACACTTCAGACCATTTATGAGTTTTGGAATTCTTAGTGACCTCAGTGATTGGCAACCACGGTGCCGTGGCACACTAGTGTGCTTTGAGAGATTGTCTGGGGTGCAGAGGGAAAATACCCAATTTCACTTCCATTGTCGGAAAATAATTACTGAGCAATATCAATCAGTGGCAAAAATATCGACGGTGCAACCGGTGCAATAATGCATCGGGGCCCAGACGGCATTAGGGGTCCATATAGGACCGTGGGGAGGGGGAAAGGACTTAACACTTTTTGTTGTGTGGTCTGCTACGGCATTTTTGTAATGTAGATGCCATGGCTCAATAAAAGGTTTGACGGGGGGATCGACTAACCAACAGGAAATGTGCCAATGGTGTTTACTGTATTTTGCCCCAAAACTACCGTACAGGTGTTCTTGTGTCTTATTTGTCAAGAACACCTTTAAATCATAGATATTGAATACATTGAACAACATTGACTAAAATACTGCAAATAATGAGAATAGCGCCGGTTTCAAGTTACATGTCCTTGACTACAATTGAGCAAAGATAATATCATTGTTTTGAAAGCATTGTCCGTGAGCTTGCTGACCTGACCAAGAATATGATCACCGGTAGGCATGAAGAAGTTAACTGCATGTGTCAAGGCTGTCACACTGCAGCAACCGAGGCTAGAGGACAGCGACTGAGCGAAGAGCAGACACTTTCCCACAATAATCACATCACGTTACACTCAAACATGATTACTGCTTAGCCCGATAGACACGCTTTGGAGCAAACTATGCTAAGTTGGCGGGAGCGGCCTTACCTCAGTTCACTTGCTCAATGAATATAATATAGTGTGTTCTACCTCGTGATGGTTGGATACATGTCATTACATATGAGTGTTAAAAACAAAACAAAAAACAAAAAAATATCCTACCTTTTACCCATCACAGTACTACATACAATGATGGGTGGCCGGGCACCGGCTCGTCACGCGTTTACGTCTTCGTAGTCCCATTTACCAGTGACCCCAGCTCCGCTTGCAGTCATGTTCACAATCACAATCACAATCACATTTTAATTTCGTCTTTCTTAACAGGGAAGAAAAACAAACTCAAACGCTGGGCATATGCATCGATGGATGTTTTTGTTCCCAGGAAAGTGGGATGTGCGTTCGGCCGTCTTGACTAAAATGCGTTCTTTAACTTTGAATACATTCATCTTTTTATTTTAATATGATATGACCCCCCCAAAATAAATAAATAAATAAATAAATAAACAAATAAGGAAAATCCATCCTTTATTTCAAATGCATTTATTCAATGGGGAAAACATATCCCATGTTAAGAAATAATTATTTTACATCAAATTATGTGTTCCACATTTATTAATACCCCTGATGTTAATACTTTGTAAAAATCTCTTTTGCCGACAAAACGGCACTTCGTCTTCTCCAATGTTTGACAAAATATGAGAATATAAAAAGACGGATTTGCGACCATTCCTCTTCACACAATCTCCCTAAATTATCCAGCAACCTGGGTCATCTCACTCTGCAGGTTTTCAATGTGGTTGAGGTCTGGGGACTGAGATGGCCATGGGAGGATCTTGATTATGTGTTTGTTGGGAGTATGCTTCTGTAATATAAATTCACGAATGTTCAGGCTTTTAACAAATCTTAACTGGGGGTGCCAATAATTCTGAAGGTTACTATATAAAATATGCCGGTCAAAGTTATGTCACAGGCAATCCAGTGATGTGCGTGTCTATGATTTTTCGGGGATTTTTTGTTGGTGTTTTTTTTTTTTTTTGTCTCATGTAAATTCCTGATAATGTAGTGATAAAAATGTGTTCTTTGTCACACAGGGGCAGCTATTACAGTAATGCATTCTGTAGACAATTAACATCCTGTCACAATAAAATGCAGTCAGTTACTCTTTCGGCCACGGGCATGGTGGTAATCTTCGAAGAGATAATATGTGTTTACCCTTCAATTACAACAAATGCCTGCTTTTCATTCCGATTTCAGGCTGGATTTACACTGCATGATTCAAGTGACACAGTTTTATTTTTTTAACTCAGAAGTAGCACAATTCAGAAAAGACAAAAGGCCACATGGAATCCGATACATGTATCTGATCGTAATTGGGCCCTTTCCAAAAGTGGGGGAATATCTGACACGTTGGCTACGTACACTGCAGTGTATGGTGCCAATTTGGATTTTTGTTTAATCTTTTTTTTAATGTGGTCATTCACACAACAAACACAAATGTAAGCTCAAATGTGAACAGAGTGTGTCTGTGACTATGTTTACGTGCAGTCAATAACCCTTTAAAACTGGAATATTCGCAATATTCCTGTAGCGCAAGGCCATGTAAACACCCGCAAAAACCCAAATATGCTAAATTTGATGTTAAAAAACAAACAAACAAACAAATAAGACCAACCCACTACATGACGGCTGTGTTTGACGTAGTACGTGCATTCTTGATATTTAAAGGAATATCACTTTTAATTAAAGGAATATCGTAAATCGATGCTAATTTCCCGTTAACATGTCAGTGGGATTTTACATTGACTTTAGCCTTGCACGTGCAATGTTTTTAAAATTAATCATGTCTTCTTGTATTTAAGTACACAATGTGTGTAATTATTTTTGTCGTGTGTTTCGTTTTACAGTAATTGAGGTGTCATTAAATAGGTTAAAGCGCACCTGGGGATGGCACAATCACATAAATGTCACATACCTGCTCCACAAGCAACAATGTGCATTCAGGCTACGCCCACAAAATCGGGAATTTGCAAACGCACAACGCCAATCTGTACATGAATAGTTTTTTTTATGGTCGTGAGGAGCCGATTAAATGTTGATTAATTGTCCAGCCAGAAGTTGGGACATTGTGTTAAAACAAATAAAATCCGAATACAATGATTGGACCACTTGGACAAGCAATAATGGCTTCCACTGAAATCGGTTGTGGCAAGGCACAGAGGCAAACTGATAAATAATTTCTTTATCGATACAATGCCTATGGCCTGCCCATGCAAAGATCTCTCTGAAATGTCCTTGGACAATAAACACACCAAGGCAAAGTGTCCTGGATTTAAGGAATCAAATAGGCTTCCTTACATAAGCGCCCCCCCCCCCACACACACACACACCCTCACGCTAGGTTTAGAACAGCAGGAAAACGATGAAGGCATGCTTTACACAAACTCCCTCCCCCACACACTGCTCCAACAGGCATAGCTGGGGCTTGTGGGATTAAGAATGGAACACGATGACAGACAAAAACCGTCCTCAACGCCGCCCTGTTCTTCTGTCTTTTAAATTGTGAGAGCATGAAAAGGGTGCTGGGGGGGCATATAATAGACACAGTTATAGCTCAGCTCTATGGGTGAACAGCGTATGAACTGCATGACTGATTAACTACACAGATCATTACATTGTCAGTGTTCAAATTATGTTGCCCAAGAAGGTAACAAGATGTGAGGGGGAACCTTCCTGCACCGTGTAGCTCTTCTAATCTTAGGACAGTTCTAAAGACAATTTTCACAGATGAATTCAACAAACTTTGGTTCGGAAAACCAAAACATAAATTAAGAATGTTATGATTGCATTTTAAATGATTCAATTAATTGGCAAGGTTGACTTGTTCATCCAACCCACTCAATTATATGGCAGCAACATCACTTAAATATAAAAGAAAATGTTTCCCAATCTTTATGCTGTGGTTATTTTTCGCTGTGTGGCATTTTTAAATGGAAATGTGTATTTAATTAAAAAATCAAAAAAGAAACTCAGGCAATGCGAAATAAACCTCTGAAATCAATTCAAATCAATCAATGCGCCTTTAAGACCGATAGCCTAAAAAGTCAACCACGTGTTACACGGTAGGAAGTAATAAAAGAACATACCTTTTCATTTTTCACCTTCTTCAAGGTCTTGCATTCAGCATTACCGTTTTCCATTTCCTCTGGCTCAGTTTTTGCGGTTAATGCCGGTAATATCCCAACAGGTTCAAGAGCAATATTCCCAATTTGATTGGCTTCTACTAAGTCTGTTGATTGTGTGCCCTCGAAGGGTGCATTGCGACAGTTCCCCAGAGCAACTTGAACTTGAGACACAACCTCCTTCTCCGCTGCAGCAATCGCCACAACTGCTGCTCCCTCGGTTTTGTCCTTTTTACTTTTGCCCGTAGCCCCTTCTTTGTCCTTTTTCCCACTCAGAACACCCCTGGAGGGTTTGCCCCCTTTTTCTATGTTCTTCCCAGAGGTCGAATTGTTGCCTGCAACCACCACAGCCGCCGCCGTGCCAGTTGGCTCGCCTTGAGTCCGTCCCGTCGCTTCCTTTTTCGCCCCATCTCCGGTCGAAGCTTTGCTATTATTGTCTTTAGAGTTTTTACTGCGCTTGTATTTGGATTTGCTTTCCTTGCCTTGAGAGCCAGACACTGGGCTAACAAACCTGATGTTGTCGGGCAACGCTGCTACTGCACTGGGTGGTGCCGCCATGCCGTCCTTGGTGCCAGACATCTCAAGTTTGTCCTTCTCTAAGTCAGCGTCGAGGTCAATAATCAGATTTCCAACACCGATATCCCATTCATCCCCGCTGTCGTAAGTGTCCACCGCATTAGAGTCCACACCTTTCCCGCCTGCAGTGCCACCACTTAGGGACATTTTAGTGCCAACGGCCCAGGATTGCCTCAGTGAGGTCCAACGCTATCTCGGACGGTTGGGACTCAGGGGCAGGGGTTAAAGAATCTTCACGGTCTAATCGTTCCTGTTCCATTTGGCCACATTTTGTTCTGAAAAGAAAAGACAATGCAATGTAGTCAATGGCATAAAAGAATTCAGACATCAAGTATCTCGCACCTAGCATTTCATTAGTGACAAAAGAACATGTTTTCACATGAGCCAGTCATTCTGAAATGATCACTGTGCAAATCCCTATGATACTGCCCACTGGTGCTACAGAAACCCTTTCTTCATAATCACTTCCCCCCCAGTTACCATGACAACTGTGGGAAATGTAGCCTAAATCCTGCTTTGACAGCCAAGGTGGCTCCCACTGCTCTGATCTGAAAGACTGGCTGTCTTTTCATAAGGCACTGCTGTTAGTGTCACGACTGATAAACCCCTGCATTGTTTAGACAGTCTTGCTTTTTCAACTCAAGATGACAGCAGTCATCTTACATAACTCAGTCTTAAAAATATGCAAACACATACATAATTCACTAAATGTCAAAAACTCACACTGTTGTACCGAATATGGATTTAAGGTCAAACTAATTCAGATTTTGAAAAAAAGATATATTCTGGTACATATCTGTTAGCTCATGTGACCTGTTAATAAACCTGTTAAAAAAATGATCAGCACCCTAAACATGAGAAAGCTTGCCATGTTCACATCTTTATGAACTCTCAAAGTTCTGAAATTTCTGTGCATATTGTTCACAAACACTTGTTAAACCATGCGCATGTACAATGTTTAATTTCAGTATACTGACAGGAATAGGAACTCTTGATAGTTACACCATATGGTTATGATGCATCAGATAATCTGCTCAATTAAAATGTATCCCATCTGTTGGCACCTCCGAGGTTATTTTACATCAAGTTTTGGCTAAGAACCTTCTTAAGATGTCAATAAATCATGTAGGTGTTTTGCACGGTTGTGTCCTGTGAATTAATTTTCAGTGAATTGAAAAAAAAAACCCTCAAAAAACAAAGGAAACAAAAAACAGCTTTCAAACCCCGGGAGGTCACTAATTATAATACTAAACGCAGAACTGCTGAACAGCAGGAACCCTAATTCTGAATACTTTGTCAGATCCACTATCCACAAATGAAGGATACTGGAAATGGTGTGTGCTAGGTGTGGCCAGGCAATCAAATTACTCCAAGTGAGCTACGACAAGCCATCCAGACCTCACTGGCATCAATTGTGGTCATTGTTTATGGCTCCACCTTAAGACAGACACTGAGCAAGAATGTCATCAGTCAGACAATTCCAAGGCAAAAACCACAATGGGGTGTAGAAACCAAAGGCTCATCTCATATTTGCCAGTAAATACCTTAAGATGATTGGAGGAATATTCACTGGGATGACAACACAAAAGTTAAACTTTTTGGAAGGTGTGTGGCGGTGATATCTGGTTTTAATATGCCAAGTATTTAATTATATTTGCTAACGCCAGCAGTCCAACACGGTGGTGTTGTCACGGTGATGTCACGGTGTGATTTGCTCATTCAAGACCTGGACAACTTGCTGTGATTAATGGAAAAATTAAGGTTGATGTCGACATGAAAATTCAGCATGGGAACATTCCACCATCTGTTCATGCCCTCAAGCTTAGGCGTTCTTGGGTTATTCAGCAGGACAGCGATCTGAAACATGATCTCATCTACATCTAAATACTCAAACAAACAAAAAAAGACATGAAAAAAAAAAAAAGGTTTTTGGAGTAGCATATTCAAAGTCCTCAAAGGGTCAGTTCATGCTCAATAACCTTTGGATATGACCAAGGCAAAACAAGTCTGTGAGGAAAGAGTTCGCCGCAATTTCACAGCAAATGAATGACTCAATTCTAGTTACTTCAAGTTCCTGATTTGAGTTATTGCTGCCCAGAGTGGCTCAACCAATTAATAGGTTCAGGAGGTAATCAGCTTTTCACACCGACAAGAAAGATTCAGATTTTTTCCCTCTGAAGAAAGGAAAAAAAAACTCATTTAGAGACGGCATTTAAATTTACTTGGGTTGTCTGCGATTTTATAACTGGTTTGATGATTTGGAACATTTGAGTCTGATAAATATGCAAGAAAAGACATCGGGAAGGGGCAAACTTTTGTCCATATATTTGGATGTGTGCCTGATTCAAACATCATTTTCTTCTTTTTCTTTTTTTAACCAGTCACACTTTGGCTGATAAACTTGGACCGACGTTCTTTGGGTGGTCCTGTTGAAACCATAATCATACGGAATTCACAAGCTACAGTACCGATTATTTCAAAACAAACATTTTCTTAACTGTTTACAAGATCAGGAAAAAGCTGGGTTGGTCCTGCTTGCCATTTTTCTAAGGCTGCAATTTTCAGTCAAGCATTTAGCATGTTGTAAACTTCCTTCGGTTTCACTGCGTGACAAATGCTGCAGTGACATAGCTGGCTGGCCAGCATAAATGCAACATAAATCAAATTACAGTTAAGATGAGGAAGAAAATAAGTGGGTGTGCACACCAGCGGCAAAACCAAGCTCATGCATTGGATTTAGTCAGAAAAGCTTGTCAAGTGCTTTTTAGAGATCTGTATTTTTATTTGATTTTTCTTCTACAAAAGAACAACAAAAAGAACTGATTATTTCTATAATTTCACATGGCATCTAAACAATGAACGGCACAGATTTGGTCTACTTTCCTCTTTCACAAACTGTTATTCTCTTCTGTACGCTGCAACCTTATTCAAGTTCCACCGATTCCTCCGTTTGTTTTTCCTTGTCATGCAAACCTCTCATCCACAATGTTTATGAACTGCTGGATGTGTAGTTATGATGTGGAGGAGTCTGTCTAGGTAGGGTTGAACAATCCAAATCATGACTTCTCGACATGTCTGGGTGACTGGCTTGTAAAATTATTCCTTGACAATGCTGAAGTAACTTTGGTCAGTCACCATCATAGCTCAGTACTTTTGTGGTGCTCCAGGACTGGGTAACGCTAATTTTTAGAAGGTTGAGTGTACAATATATATTAAAAAAAAAAAAAAAAACAATGAAAGAAACATGCTCTCGCTGACATACTGTAACTTGTCATTTGGCAGTATACTATACACCAGTGTTTTTCAACCTTTTTTGAGCCAGGGCATGTTTTTTACATTGGAAAAATTTTGCGGCACACCACTAACCAAAAATGTGATAAAATGACACTCTGAACAGTGTATTTAATTAAAATATAATTTCTCAATTTATTTATACTCAATCAGTGTGAAACCTGGGGCTGTTTAGATCAGGGTTTTTCGAACTTTTTTGAACTTTTTTTCATTGAAAAAAATCTCGCGGCACATCACTAGCTGAAAATGTGAACCCCCCCCTCCTCCCCGCTTATTTTACCAACTAACGTGTTATATTGTTACTATAACCGTTTTTAACATTGAAGAGTGACATTATAACAGCTTGAATTGGAATCTAATGAACACAAAGAAAACCGTATTTTATCATCTTTCATATTTATTGTTTCACCGTCGTCCTGCATTCATGCGTCACAAATTCGCGTGTCTCTCGTCGTAACACAAGGCAATTGGCTAGCTAGCTGTTGCTGCTCCCTAGCGGTATGGGAGGGTACTACATGATTACTTTCTGGACGAAAGACAGCACAGGCATAAAAATTGGATATTTTCCCGCGGCACACCTGACAATGTCTCGCGGCACACCAGTGTGCTGCGGCACACCGGTTGAAAAACACTGCTATAAACTATAATAGTACCGCATATTAGAAATGCCACAAAAAAGCAGGAGAATCGCATAAAGAGCTCAAATTTTCGCCTTTATGCATTCACGGCACTGACATGGAATGGAAGGGACGAGGTCAACTTGACAAATTTTCAGCTTCAAGGCGGTATCAGAGAAATAACAGGACAGGAATGTGAAGTAGTGGCAATGTCCCACTTTTGTTCAGTTCTGAGCAGAGGTGTAAAAGTGTATCGACATCTAATCAAATTCAAAACTATTTTAATAATCGCGTAATTATTGAGTGCCGCTGTTTTTCAAACTGTTCAAATCTTCCGATTCAGCCTCTGAACAGTAATTACTCTCTGATTTATGCAGTACTTCGTGAAAGCACAATCATTATCTTTCGTGAAAAAGTAGACATTTGCAAACGCCTACTTTTACTGTGGAAAACAGTGACTAAACCAGTCACTGAATACGTCAAAAAGGTTAGTGACGACGTCAATCCATCCCGTGTGGTATTGCTTAATTATTGCTTCTTTTTTTTTTTTTAAATTACCACACAATAACAAATAAAGAACAATAAATGGTGAATAAAGGATTTGAAAAACATTCCGACAGCCAGACAGTTCTGAATAAAAGGCAAAGGCTCCGCATTGGTCTGATGCAGCTATTTTTGCATGATCTTCGTAAAACAGTTTGATCATTTCATTTCTCTGCATGCTTCTTTCTACAGATGACTGTCCAGTGGAAGAGCAGTCAAGCGCATGTTTTGGAGGGTGGAGAGATGCAGCTGTCCCCGTTTGACTATGAAAACAGTTGTGGGGTCTAATTTGTCCAACACCTCCACAAAAGAGAGGTTGTAACTCTATCAGCAGTTGACCTACTGTACTGCCCTCAGCTGGAACCGCCATGCAAGCCGTTTTGAAAAAGCTCCCACTGAGAGGAATGTCCCAGCGCGATTCTCATTGAGCGAAAGGCATGCGGGTTGTGCAACACCCACAGTGCTTGCCCTTTTTAACAGATCCAGTTTCACTGAGTTATCTATGGAGTGAAATCCGCTTTGAACTTTGCTACTCATTTACCAAGCAAAAGGGACAATCATAATTTCTGTGGTAGAATGACTAAGCAGAACTAGTCCACTATTTCCATTTCCTCCCTTTTGGACCCAGCTGTATGCCATTGCATTTACTCCACAAGGCTAATACTGGGAGGAATGTGTGTGCAACATAAAAAGAATAAGTAAACATTTCCCAACCTTAAAACTCCGCTAAATCTAGATAGAATGAAATTGCCAGTTGAATTTACTTTGAATGCTATGTAGTGAGCATTGAAAATGGAATTTACTCAGTCCCCTGGAAAAGCTCA